ATTAAACTGGCGCTAACGCCGCTAATATTCATATACCGCATAAAAATAAATCGCACAAAACCAATGGCACAAAAATAAAATCGCATAAAAAAGGACCGCACAAAAACAGGTTTCACTGTTTTTATACATTAAAAAATAAGTTATTTTTATTCTTTATTTAAAAAGTAAACAATCATGAAGGTGAACTTGCTGCTGAATATTATGTTTTAAATGACATAATTTATTTATTATTATCATTTATTTATTTATTATTATGATCATTTATTTATTTATTATTATTTTACATAATTTATTTATAATATTATGTAAAAAAACACAAAATTTTCAGTCGGCTTTATCCGACTGAAAATTTTGGCTTTATCCGACTTAAACCACAGCGAAATTATGAATTTTATTTTCAGCTGTTACATTCGTCCCTTTACTTATTGTTACAATTGTCCCCAAGACGCCATTTCAGCTTCATTTTTTAGAAACAATGCTAGTTAATTAACAAAACCAATCTTTTTTCTTTTGAAATGTTAATTAAGGTGTCCACTTACATATTCGGTTAATAATAATTTTTATTTGCTTAAACGAAATTACTTTGTTTTAATATAATATTCTAATACCAAAAAAAGTACTTACGTAGCGTGAAAATATCTTTTGTCGTGTAACTCTTTCAAAAGTACATAAAAATGGTTGCCAGCAGGAGTGTACATGTAGATTTATTAAATACACCTTGTGCACCACCTAGGAAACAAATCTAGAACCCGACACTCGAAATTTTTGCTCTGTTACAATCGTACCCTGTTACAATTGACCCCACTCTCCCCTACCGAAATACCGTATCAAAATGGGATTATTTAATTGTGTGAAATTATTTATTATAAATATCATTATAATTATTTATTTTATAAATATCATTATAATTGTTTATTATGTAAATATTAATTATTTTATTGAAAATTTATTATAAAATAAATTACGCGAAAATAATTTCCAAAAATCTTAGGAATAATTATAAACAACGTTTTTAAAAATGTTTATTGCTGAATTCTATTTGAATGATTTTGCCCAGCAGGAAAGAAAAAAAAAATTAAAATTTCGCGAGCTGTATTTTTTCAATTCCGATTTTACGATGCCGATGAAAAGATATTTCCCGTCTACTACCATTAGACTAGTGTGTTAGGTCACGAGATGAGAAAGGACGTAAAGTAACCGATACAGCAGTTTCATGTCTGTAAATACCATCCTATGATTTTTATTTTAAGAATAAAATATGTCTTATTATTTTCAGCATAGTCAACGGACTTAATTACTTAATTCGTCAGGATCAGGTACATGACCAGCATCACCACCATGAGCCTAGTTGCCACCACCATGAGCCTAGTGACCACCACGAGCCTAGTGACCACCACGAGCCTAGTGACCACCACAACGAGCCTAGTGACCACAACCAAGAGCCTAGTGACCACCATGATATTGTTCATTCTCAGGATATTGTTCATATATATGATTACAATATTGATTATATTTATGATTGTGATACTGATCATATCTATGACTATGATTTTGATTATCCTTATGACTATGATATTGATCATGGTCATGAGGATGATCAATATCATGGTCTTCCTCTTGACTATGATATTGATCATGGTCATGAGGTTGATCAATATCATGGTCATGAGGATGATCAATATCATGGTCATGAGGATGTTCAATATCATGGTCATTCTCCGGATCATTCCCATGGTCATCATGATGATCATGAATGATAAAAGGTTTTCCAACTTTTCAGAAGTTTCTGCATTTTTTGTTAGAAAAAAATTTCTTTTAATATGAACTTTATTATCTAGAGCTTAATTTAAGTTTTTATCTGCATAGATGTCTTTTGATATAAGATTAAATTAATAAGAATACAAAACGAAATCAATAGATGGAAATAGCATTTTATCTTTCTTACGAAAACGTAAGGTGAAAGTATGAAAATAATGTATGGATACTGCTGATTTTAAATGTACTATTTTAATGGAAATAATAATTTCATGAACATATAATTGTATAAACTAATAATTGTTATGATTTATAGTACCACTCAAGAGGGACGTCTTTTGTGAATAGCTCTGAAATATGCTCAGTTTTTTAAAATTTACAGAAAGTGTAAAATGAACTTTTAAATAAGTATCTTAACTGATGTTCTTTTTTAATTAAAATTGTATTTGTTCGATATAGTTCCTATATTTGTAACTGAAAATTTTCCATTTTACTAATAAATTTACTTTAAAGAAAAATGTTTCTGTCTATGTCACATATAACACTATAGAATTTCGTGTTTTTGTTAGTTTCACAAGCTTTAATTTATAATGAAATGGTTGAGTTCATTCTTGAGCAAGAAGTAGGAGAAGTTTCAAAAATATTTTTCGAGATATGTGCAATAGGTTTGTAAGGTAATTTTAGACTGTTATAAAATATTATTTATTGGTTTTTATCTGCCTGAAATTATCAAAACCCATGTTCACCAACTTGTTTGGTTATTAGCAGAGCTTTTTTTTTTCAGATTTTAAAGTGATGGCAAGATTTATCACCAATTGGTTTAGAACAATTTTGACCAAAAGTTCGTATAATTCAAATATTTACCGAGTGTTTCGTACACCCTAAATAAATATTAACCTGCCAAAACTTATTTTAATTATCAATTAAAGCTTGGAGATGTTTCTATTTACTACTTTTAATCTTTATTTTTCTGAATCTATAAACCAGCCCGATCATATTCTTACTAATTCCATGATGTTGCCAGGGTTGACAAACTTTTTTCTTCAAGGATTATTAAAAAAAAATAATAACTTTTCGCAGAGATGCAGTTATCGATAAGAGTATGAATGAGTATTTGTTTACACAAAATGGGACTCCTGATTGTAAGAAATTTTGTTCTGATTTTTCATGGAACGCCAGAAAGAATGCTAATTGCTCCCCTTTCTGAAAAATAAAAACTTGCAGTATTTTTGGAAAGTTCAATCATTGTTTTGAAAGGTTTATTTTGGGTAAAGGGTATTGCATATGTGATGGTGGGCCACATTGCTTCAAATAAAATTTATTAAACTAAGAGTCTTCAATTAAAAGTTTTGATACCGATAGAAAAAATATTTTCCTACGTAACAAAACGCTGCGCTAGACACAAAATGAGTTAAAGATAACATTAGAAAATAAAACAATATATCGATTTCTTCATAGTATTTTTACCTTCGTCTCAAGTGAGACCCCTTAACGCTACTGTTTTAAACACCTTTCGTAAAGAAAGGTGCTATCATTTCTTCAGACTGTTCGATTTATGGGATATTTATTAATATCCCATAAATCGAACATATGATATTATGAAATATTTAATACCTAAATCTAGGATCAAAACTATTAAAAAACAAAAGGAACCTACGCTTAGTAGAATAACGGTAAATTAGCTTTTAAATATGGCTTAAAACAATCTTTTGGTGGGATGGACGGTTGACATCGTCGGCATTTTAGTCCCCACGTTGGTGACCTACGGACATAATTTGAATATGTCTATCTTGAAAACCTCTTATGGGCATCAGCGTGAAGCCAAGATCCGTCTACAACTGAGGATATTTTACGTCTGCACTGTGGTTGGTGCGAGCCGAGTGCGGAATTCCTATCTACCAGCCATCGCTAAGATTCGATCCCAGGGTTTCTCATTGGGAGGTGAGCGCTCTATCCCCTGAGCCACCACGACGCACATTTGTGCAATTATAGAAAGAACAAAAGCAAATGCTTTAAGATTGATTTCGAGGAAAAAAGCTTGACAACTTTTTTCTTTCCCTTTCTAACGCTATTAACGCCAATGTAAAATTTCCGAAAACTGATTCTTCTTTTAATATGGGACTTATAGAAAAGTGCCAAATATGTGAAAAACCCAATTTTGAATTTTTTTTATCACTTGCGTTGATTTTCTATTATTCGGCAGTATACGTGTCTGCCGAAACAATAAAAAACGTCATTTTGAGAAGTATCTTAAAATTTTAGTCAGTCTATTTTAGCCGTCTCGATTGAATGCAGAAAGCCGCATTTTACTTATATTGAAGTTTAACTTGTACATCTTTAGTACGAGTATGAAGTTTTCGAATGTGCATTCTGTCATATTGTTAGAAAAAAGGTTTTTAGAAAATTTTTCAGCCATGTTTATCCTGAAGTGATGTTAAATAGTCATGATATGTCCTGAAGTCATGTTAAGCATGCAATTTGGACTGTTTGTTTTCAATAGAATTTATGTTTTATCTATAGATTTGGAACTTTAAGAACAGAGGGTAAAGACATAATTTATTGAATGGAAGAATCAATTTAAAATGTTACTTTAACCACAATTTAAAAACTTAATTGAAAATAATGGCATGGGGAGTTTTACACGAGTCAAATTGAGTTAATTTATATCTAGATTTTCAATTTGAAACGAATCTGTTGAAACCATTATTTTTATTATGGGAAAAATCACGGGCTTTGCAAGGGCCTAATTTTTGAGGTAGACGAAATTAAAATACCTAGTCACAATAGTTTTCTAAATTTCACACATAAGAAATAAAATTCTTAAATCTGCAGAGTGATTAATTACTCTCTATCTTGTTTTTAACTTAGATGAATTTAAATCGATAATGATTCATGAAGATTTTTTTCTTTTGTCTGAAGTATTAGAGGGGAATTTTAGAGATTTCTAATTAATGAGGGGGCATATGCCCACGACCGGATTTAAGCTTGGTGGGGCCCTAAGTTACTGAAAATGATGGGGCCCTTATAAGCTCAATTCCATTTCTATACACCTAAAGTAAACTGTCATTATTTTTTATTGTAGAGTATTAACATCATATTATCAAAGAATTTGATAATATTACTTTATTGTTAAATATATTATTGTGATGAGACTGTTATGTAGAATCTTTCTTTTATTGCACATATTTTTTCGACGAGGGAACAAAGTTACAAAGGAAACACATTTTAAGCACAGAGTAAAAATTTGGCGTGCTGGGTCACTATATATTTAACAGATTTTTTTTAGATTCATTTTGAATATATTTTATTCGCAATTTTTAATGATTTTTTCGCAAATTTTTTTCTAAATTGTTTTTTCTTTACGAAATTTTGAATGTGCGTAGAAAATATGCAAAAAGTTAGATAGAATTTGATTATTAGTTTTATTTTTTTTATAACCGCCGTTGAACAACCGACTCAATTTTAAGTTCACGGCTACCAATGTTTAACTCCGTAGCCTTGTAATTTTGAATCCAATCCAGAAGACAAGGGAACTGCTAGATCAGTACCCAGAGGTATTTATTTGTTATGTAAACTTGGAGGACTTTGTGACCCCGACAGATTTAACATGCACCAGTCACCATTTTATACATGGGTATTCTTCTGCCAGCTGGATTCAAACTCCCATTCTCACGAACACGAGTCCAACGTCCTATCAACCAGGATAGCCCGGCCAAATTAATTAGTTTATTTTATAACAGTCATTGCACAGCCGACCCAATTTCGAGTTTACGACTACTAATATTCACCTCCGCGGCCTTGTAATTTTGAACCCAATCCAGAAGACAAAGGAGCTGCTAGATTAGTACCCAGAGGTATTTATTTGTTATGAGAACTTGGGGGATTTTGTGACCCCGACAGATTTAACATGCACCAGTCGCCATTTTATTCATGGCTATTCTTCTGCCATCTGGATGCAAACTCCCATTCTCACTAACGCGAGTCCAACTCCCTATCAACCAGGCTATCCCGGCCAAATTAATTAGTTTATTTTATAACAGTCATTGCCCAGCCGACCCAATTTCGAGATTACGACTACTAATATTCAACTCCGTAGCCTTGTAATTTTTAACCCAATCCAGAAGACAAGGGAACTGCTGGATTAGTACTCAGAGGCATTTATTTGTTATGAGAACTTGGAGGACTTTGTGACCCCGACACAATTCGACCTGCACCAGTCACCATTTTATACATGGGTATTCTTCTGCCGGCTGGTTTCAAACTCCCATTCTCACGAACACGAGTCCAACTCCCTATCAACCAGGCTATCCCGGCCAAAATTATTAGTTTATTCTATAACAGTCATTGCACAGCCGACCCAATTTCGAGTTTATGACTACTAATATTCAACTCCGTAGCCTTGTAATTTTGAACTCAATCCAGAAGACAAGGGAACTGCTAGATTAGTACTCAGAGGTATTTATTTGTTATGAGAACTTGGAGGACTTTGTGACCCCGACAGATTTAACCTGCACCAGTCACCATTTTATACATGGGTATTCTTCTGCCGGCTGGATTCAAACTCCCATTCTCACGAAATCGAGTCCAACGTCCTATCAACCGGGCTAGCCCGCCAAATTTATTAGTTTATTTCATAACAGTCATTGCACAGCCGACCCAATTTCGAGTTTATGACTACTAATATTCAACTCCGTAGCCTTGTCATTTTGAACCCAATCCAGCAGTCCCTGGAGCAGGTGAGGGCCGTTATATTAATACTGTTTGTAAAAATAAAAAGAACATTTCGTAAGCTGATATTATTTAATTGATGTTTATATTGAAAATATTTCTTCATTATTTTTGCTTTCTTTTTAATTATTTTAAGTACATTTGTTAAATTTTAGTGCAAGAAAAAAATTGTCATTATTTATGTAAATTTTTGGCTTATATTTTTAAGGATTTATTAAAGGGTCTATTAAATATCAGAGAGAATAAATGTCATACGGGTTTAAAGTATCAGCTCTGCTCTTGATGGTGTATAGTGGCTAGGATGTGAAAGAGCGACTGTCCCGGGCATCCAGCCAAAACGAGCATTCAACATATCAATGGAACACACTAAAGCTTTATATAAATTAGCAATTAGTTTTAGATAATTACAATTGTAGAATAATTATCTTATTATGGAATGAAATGTTTTAAAAGACAAATATCTGTTAATGTTTATTTAATCAACGAAAAAACAGAACTAATATTGAAATCTAACGAATTTATTATCTTTAATTACTGATAAAGTTTTGTGACAGAAAAAAAAACTAAAGCCTGATAGATTTCAGAATTTTAGAAGCACCTTCTAGTTATACTATTCAATCAAATAGGTTTCGATGTCTTTCATCCCGGTCTCATTAGTGATTTAGCATATTTCGATATCATTTTTGTTTCGTTCTTACTTAATATTAATTTGGTTGTGACAGTTAATTTGTATACCTCTTTTACTACATTTTCGAGGAGTTTAAAAATATAATATTGAGGATTTTAACTGAAATGAAATTTGCTTTTTCTGTAAGCCTCTTATATTACGTCATCATCACACCCACACGCAACTGTCTACTCTAAATAATGCTATATAGAATAAGATAGCAAAACAAACGTGTGCAGTTACTTAAATTCTTATTCAAAAGTACTAGTTAATTTTTTTTTGAACTGACAATTTCTGTTCTTTTTTAGATATTTTAAAGTGCTATTTGAAACTCACATGAAAGCATTAAATATATCATTCGTACAATTTTAAAGTAAAATAAAAGGGAATTCTGATCCTTAGAAACAGGTATTAAATAGTCTGATGATCGAATGATGGGGAAAAAAAAACTTTTTTACCTTTTAAACAAAAAAATTGTTTATTTATAAATGATCTATTAATACTCAAATTACTTGAAAGATGATATGTTTCTTACTAAGTCCCGCAGTGGACTGATCGCTAAGACACGGTTCCCAGCAGATCACCGAAGTCAAGCATCACTGGCTGCGGTCAGTGTGCGGGTAGGTGACCACTTGGATCAGTCTGCGTAGGGACAGAGGGTGTGCGGTATTGGTCCTCGTTAAACTGTTCTACAGTGAAGTGCTCAACTTCGCGTGCAGGTCGTCGGGCTACCGAAGCGGGCGTGCCATTCCGTCTGCAGAGGATCAAAATTGTGATGGCATGTCTTCGGATCATCCTCAGGGGTGTTTCCCAGACCGTCGCCAATAGCCCATTGTGCAGCTCTAGTGCGACGTAAATTAACAACAACAAAAAAACATGTTCCCTACTAATGGAAACGAAGTTTTTTGTTTTATTCAGTCATTTATTTTTATTTATTGTGAGCGACAATGTAAAAAAGGAAAAAAAAATGCATTTTGGGCTTCTGAGGGCCCCAGCTCCGAATAAATCTTTAAAAAAAGAGAGGGGAAAGTAGGATCTGGGGGCCCTTGTCATCTCGGGGCCCCAAGCTACAGCTTATTTAGCTTATACGTAAATCCGGCTTTGCATATACCTACCATCCCCCTACCACAATGACGCCTGTGAGACATATATTGTGAAAGTATTGAAATTTGGCGGGTAGATGGAAAATTTTTTAATATGTGAAATCTCTTTCCATTTCTTTTTACCTTTCACAGATGTGGATTCAATTCTCTTGAATTTAATTCATGAATTTAATCTTGGATTTAATTCGGTCGTACGGAAATTTTTTTTCGGGCATTAAATAAAGTGCGATTAGATTTTTATTGAATCTGTAAATCATCCGTCACAGCAGTGAACTGATCGTTAAGACACGGTTCCCAGCAGAACACCGAAGTCAAGCATCACTGGCTGTGGTCATTAAGCGAGTGGGTGACCACTTCGATCAGCCTGCTTAGGGACCGAGGGTGCGCGGTATCGGTCCTCGTTAAATTGTTCTATCGTAAAGTGCTCAACTTCGCGCAGGTTGTCGGGCTACCAAAGCAGGGGAAGCATCCCATCTGCAGACGATCAAAATTGTGATGGCATGTCTTCAGGGATGTTTCCCAGACCGTCGCCAATAGCCCATTGTGCAGCTCTAGTGCGACGTAAATAAAGTACCTACCTACCTGTAAATCATCTAAATTATTTTTCTTTATTTGTCAATTCTACAGGTATTAACTGGAATATGGGCAGTTCGCAAAAAAGTGGTAACTATATGCTATTTGCAGTTAATTTTAAAAAGCTTTATAAATGTATAAAAGTTCCTTTTATAGTGTATAAATGTTTTTTTTAACTGTTTAATAAATGCACTTGAAATATTACATAAAACATAAAAAAGACAAAGGGATTTTAAACCTTATTCATCAATTATTTAGACTTTCAGATGTGTATGTTACAAGTTTTGGACAAAAGGTTGTTACCTAGAATTCATTTCGCTACACTTCTGAAACTAAATGAATCAAAGAATATTTGCATACGTTTAACTTGTTTGTCAAGAGGTAGTTCCCAGCAAAAAATAAATAAATAAAAATAAATAATAATAATAACCGAAATATCCTCTCGACAGTTATTAATATTTTTTTTTTGACATAATATACGAAAATTTGAACGATATTGGCGAAATAGCTTCTGAGTAATAAAATTTCAAAATATTTTTTTTTTCAAGATATTCGACTGATTTTGTTCAAATTTTGTTATTTAAAATAATTCTTGAAATAATAATCTGTTCAAAAAATAATTTGTAATAACTTGTGTAAATTAGAATTTACTTTTTTAGCCAATAATTTAACTAAAATTTTTTTATTTTTTATGAAATTATTTTCGAATGAGTCTTATGCTTGTTTACTCTTTTGATCCCTTAATCTGGAGATGTAGCGAAATATAAGACAAAAGCAGTTAAAGAAAGACAAACTGTGGGATATCTAAGCGTGGATATGCAATAACATGTTTAAATTAGTGTCTTTATTAATGACTTTTGACTACGCTAAGCCAGAATCTTGTTTATTAACACAACATACATTTATAGGCTTTGTAGATTTATAGACAGCAAGAAGATAAATCCAGGGTAGCAGCGAGATTCAAACACGCTACCTCCAAGCGTAGCGGCGTGTAGCGAGTGATACTGTCGGTCAGGGAGGATCCCAAGAATGTTGTTAAGAGTGGTTGCTATAGGCAACGATTACTAGCTTAATGCGTGAGAGACTAACATGTTTTAAAACGTCACTAATGCTTAAATTTTCGTGTCACAAATATTTATTGAATACGATATATTCTTTCTTTTTTCAATTTTATGATGTCATTATGTATCTATTATTTTTGAAAATAATAGAAACAAATGTCAAAACTAATTTAAAAGAAGTGTTTCTTTTAGATGTGGTCTTTTAACTGCAACTGCTAATTCAATGTTTAAATTCTTCTTTCAGCGCTTCAAAGCTGGTGGCGTGTTTTAGCTGAAATCTTTGAAAATCAAAGTATTTGATAAGGGCACGACGCTTACCTAGCATTTAATTATCCATTGTTTATTCTAATTTTCTTTACATTAAAAAAAATACTTAAGTGAACATGTTTTACCAGTATTTGTCCCCCGAAAGAATTAAAGGATTTGAAAATTATAAGGTTTGTTTTGAATGTTTTTAATCAATATATTTTTGTTTTGTTATTGTTCTAATATATTTATCGATGATTTAAATGCTGCTCCCATGATGGAGTTTCTCTTTCACTCTTGTGAATTTATAATATTGGAATTCAATAAGTGCAATATGATCATTGTTGGTGCTGTGAGATGAGATGCACTTGTAAATTTGCGAATTTACATTAATAAACTGTTTTTCCTCTCGTTCTTTTTAGATTTACATTGTCTAGTGTAATTTAAAAACACGCTACTTACCTTAAACGTTCAAATTATCCTATAATATTGTCAAGTAGCTGTGCAATATTATGTGACTGTGGCAACTATCCTGAGAATATTTTTTAAATTCATTATAATCTGAATTATTTTTTCATCTTTATGATCTTTAAATTTAGTATCTTTTTTGTAACAAGATGTAGCTATCTTACTTTTCACTTTGGTTTAATTCATATTTTATTGAAAGATTTTAAAATTAATCCAAGATGTAGGGTTTAATTGAAGAACAATAGTGAAAAATGAAGTTTTCACGCTAGTGGTCTTTCACATTTAAGGTTGTAAAAAACCTAATTATCAAAATGTAACAAATCAGTTTTTTTGAAATTTACTCAAGACATCAAAGTCAGTACATTTATTTATAAAATGGTAAATGCATTAAAAAATTTTTGAACAAACATGGCAATTATCAGTTACATAAAACTTTTCTCTTAAACAAACTTTTCCCTTAACAGTATGCCCTTAAAAGGAAGCTTGTAGGGCTTTTTTTGTATCCGTCGTTGAGCAGCCGTCCCAATTTTGGGACTACTAATGTTCAACTCCATAGCTTTATAATTTTGAACCGATCCAGAAGACAGGAAACTCTTAGATCAGTACCCCCAGATGTGTTGATTTGTTATGGGAGCATGGAGGACTTTGCGACTCAACAGATTTAACGTGCAGGGAGTCTTCGGCCGGCTGGGATCGAACCCAGAAACTCTTGGACATAAGGCCCAGTGCCCTATCAATGAGTCTATTCCAGCCTTTTAGCATGTAGTTTATGACTTTTCTATAGAGGGTGTTCAAAATTGACAAATTGAAATTAAGTTAAAATTAAATTTGGAGTCTAATAACTTTGCCCTCAATATATATTATAAACATACATTGATCTCGTTTAAATATTTAAAACTTACTAGTGTTTTAATAAATTTTAAACTAAATTTGCGCTAATTTGAATGAGACCAATTCTTTAAAGATCAGAATAATAGTTTAGAAGTTATGAGATTTTTATCTGTAAAAAGTTCAAATTTGTACTTGTTACCTCTGTCTTTTACGAAAAATCAATTACCATGTACTATGTAATTACTATGTTTGCCTTTTACGGAAATTACACTAAGCACGAGCTAGTAGAAAAAGTAGTTCAAAAGGTGCTAAAGTTTTTATGAATAAACAGCACTTCTTTTAACATGACTTATTAGTTCAATTAAAATTGATTTCCAGGAACTATCTGAATGCATAATGTAAATTTTCCAGTGTTATTTACCACACTAAATTATATGAGACCAATCCCAAGACGTCCGGAATAATGGTTTAAAAGCTTTAAGTGTTTAATGTACAAAAAGTACTATTTTGTTTTTACAAATCTTACATTGCTATACACACAAGTCAAGTATTGTTTTTCGTTTAACCGAATAAGATCAAAAACGAAATAAAAAGGCTTATATTTCAAAAGTTGAAATTATTTTTTTAAACATACAAAATGTATTACCTTTGAAGGACACTTATAATAAAGAAAATCTTGTAACTTCAAGACTGAATTCAAATTATATCTCATTCAATTCTGTAAAAAAATTCATTGGAAAATATACCTTACATGTTTGGATAGTCAGATAGCAAAATAAAAAGTGTAAATCATCACAAATATCGCTCTTTGTAAGCATAAAATTTCTTGCTCCTTTTATATTCGTCCTATTGACTCGTGTATAGTCTCATTCGATCTAGCTTAAAATAATATAAAGGAAACAATGTCCTACTTATATAGTTAAGAATAACAGGAGTAATTGGGTACACTTACTAATTCGTACTTTTCGTACATGAAACTTTTATCATCTCTAAATTATTAGTCCTACCCATCGTCTTGGGGTCCTCACCTTTCAATTTAGCGTGAAAAAATACATCTGAATAAAATGCTTCAATTGTTTGCTTAAAATGCATAAATGAAATATGGGGCTAAGGGTAATCAAACTTTAGACTTCTGGAAAGTAAGAAATATTGACTAAAGTCCCAGTCAACACAGGACAGGAAAAATTTCATGTGGAATCCAGAGAATAAATGGTGTGAATGTTGTTGTTGATTTTCTATTTAATCAGTAACGAAAACCTCACATTTTAAAGTATCTTTAGTTTTAATAAAACGAAGAGGCTTTTATTAGTTTTTATTACTAAACTGAATTGACAATGGAAGCCAGTGTGTGTTCTAATCAATCCTTGGGTGCCTTCTTAAAAGATTTCTCTGCCAATTTACCTTTGTAAATCTTTTGACATGAATTAAGCGTAAGCTTTACTTTATGCATCATTCTCCCCCTCCCCCCTTCAAAAAAATAATGAATTTATGCTTATTATGATGATTTGTTTTTAACAATAATTCGCCTCCCTCCAGTATATAATTGAAATCAATCCATTTCTAACAATACTAAAATCACTTAGCATTCTGCTGAATCATGGATAAGTTTCAGTCCTGAGCTATTTACAATTTCTTTAATTTTAATAAATACTTTCGATTTTATAATAATGTTCAAACACAATTCTAGATAAGATGACAAGTGGGTTTTTTAAGGGACAGTAAAATATGATTGATATTTTTACTTATGTGCAAAAAACTGAAGTAGGAATAGAATTTGAGGTAAAAACAATTGTTCTACTTATCGCCAATCTTCCTAACTAACTTGTTTACTTTACAGTAATGTAAGGTATATTGATTTTAAAGCTATAATATATGAATAATAATAAAAGAGTATTATTTTAAATAAGTATGAAAGTGAATAAAAATTTTGTTTATAGCTAACACTTTTGATGAAAATTTGTATGAAAAATGCTTTTTTAATTTTGTTAGCAGTTATAATTACTAAATTATAGTTGTGTGAGATATAAAAACAAATGTCGAGAACTAAATTATTGTTTTAGGAAAGGAAATAATTGTTAAAGGTAAAATATTGTAAAAAGAAAATTTTTATGATATTGCAAATGCCATCTATTGAAATACTTTTGTCCTGACTTTAAAATAACTTATTTCATTTTATCTATTAACTTTATTTTTACTTTTTTAACTCAAATTTTTTAATTTCATTTGTAAAAGTATTTAAATCGGAGCATATTTTCAGTTGTCAACCTACAACTTTGTTTAATTGTTGTATATTTATTACTTTGTTGTAATCATATGTTTAGAGTTACTACTTTTGTAAAATTTAAGTATCTGTTTTTTAATAATTGTTAATTTGTAGTAAATATAACGCTGTAATGATTATAAAAACCATAGAGCTAACAAATGAAATAAATTGACGTTTGAAATCAAAGCCCCTTTTAGCTTTTACATGCACAGCTTAATTTAATAAGTTATAAACTAACCTCCAAGTAAATAAAATTCTTTGGGTGTGTTTTTGAAATGAATAAACTCCATTTAAAATAGATAAATGAATCATTTTTACAACTAAGTGTTATGATTTAAATGTAGGTATGGAAATTATTATTAAAAGTTGAATAAAATGTTAGTGAAAGGTAAATACGATAATGTATGGGGAAAAAAAGAAATATTCCACTAAATTTAAATAAAAATATATTTAAAAAATATACTATAAGACAGCCTAAGAGACTGATTAAAATTTGAGCACATCATAATAAAAGTTTCCTGATTGAATGACGAGAAAGATTTGATTTGAGAGTCACCCCCTTTTTAAACTTACCTATAAGTTATGACTAGGGCTGCAAGTTAGTTGCAGAAAAAAAGTCCAGAAATTCTCTGATATTTTGAAAATTATGGAGATTATAAATACAGAAAAATTTACTATATAAATGATGTAAAGGACAGAAATTGTGCAAATAACAAAATAAAAGCTTAAAAAATACGCAACAAAAGCTTTTTCTTTTAATTTCAGGCAATATTAAAATTTTTATTTAAATCAGGGTTCGTGATTTTTTTAAAAAAAATCAAAAGTATCAGATTTTTTTGATTTAAATCAGATTTTTTTGATTTTTATTCAAATACACTGTAAGAACTTTAATTTATGATTAAAAAAATTTATAAATGTTTAATCAAATTAACTTAATATTAAAACTATATCGTAACAATATTTTAGAAGCTCTAACTAAAATAATTTTTCATTATAATACATGGCTTTGAATGCATAGCAACCATTTTGAAACAAATGCATGATTAAAATTTAAAGACTAGATGAAATACAGAATTTAAAACATACTTCAGTGGTCTGTCTGAGTTTTTCTGAGAGGTACCTATTTTGTGCAAATTAAAAATTATAATAAAAAATCAACACAAATATAGTAAAAATATGGATTTATCGTTTCTTACGAGACACAAAAATAAAATTTTAAGAAAAAGTATTTTGTGTTATTATTCTATCGTTTTTCCTAAAGTTGAATTTGTAAAGGTACCGTTAAAAGGTGGTAAATTTGGCTTGGACAGGCCCCTGTACTTAAACTATTAAAACCAAGTTTCAATTAGCAAACCATAACTTTAATTTAAAATTGTGATTTCTTATTTTTTTCTCTTGATTTTTTAAATGACAAAATAAATGTAGCATTCTGTGTTTATAAATGTTATTTTTAATCATTCATCAAAAAATAAATAAATTTTTAATCTATATATTTTTATATTAAAATATTCATTTTTAATTTTCTATCAAAATAGATAAGCTAAAAAACAAATTAGAAAATCTATGTGCTCATTGGAATTTTTTTTCACAAAATTTCTTTATAGAAAATCAGATAATGCCAAAGATACT